CCATCTACGACAATATTTTCAATATTGGAATGGACACCAGCTGGTAAACGAAGACGTGGAAGACCAAGATCTACATGGCTACAAGAAGTAACAAACGATCTCAACAGGGCGGGCGTACGACAATGGAGAGAAAAAACCAGAGATAGGAAACAGTGGAGAAAAATAACAAGAAAAATTAAATAAAGAAAATGAGGACTGATCTACCTCGTAAAATAGATCTAGAGAGCTTAAGCGGCGTAACCCCGTACGGGGTGTTTAGCCACAATATATATATATATATATATATATATATAGCGGAGCTTTCAGGTTTATTGGGATTTTCAGCGATGAAATAAGTGTACTATTTTAACTAAGTTTCAAGCTTTCGAAAATGTTTATTTTCATCATCAGAAAAAACTGAAAATAAAGTGCTGCTATTAGTAAAGCATCCTCGAAATCTATTAAGTGAAAAGGTTGTATAAAGAGAAGGAACACTTACGTTATTGAGGTTTGTCTTTCGTGGATGTTCTACTTACAGGTGACAATAAACTTTACTAACTTGCTTACTTTACTTACTTACTTACTTACTTTACTAACAGCAGCACTTTATTTTCAGTTTTTCCTGATGATGAAAATAAACATTTTCGAAAGCTTGAAACTTAGTTAAAAGAGTACCCGTATTTCACCGCTGAAAATCCCAATAAACCTGAAAGCTACGTTTTCTAACGTTGTCGGCAAAGACTTCTTTTCTTTTTCTTTTTTAAGGCATGGGATTCTATCAAAACATCGCTTATCGTTATAGGACCCCGCAGTACGAGCACTCAATTATTGGGCTAAGACCAAACAAAAACTTGCAAGAGAATACAACAAGATGTGTTTTCTATTACGCTGTAGATCATCCAACATCACACCTTCACACATTACACATTCCACTTCATCCATCACAAAATTGTTGCAAGGACAGGACATCCAGTCAAACAAGGACACTTTACAATTTACTAGGTTAGAAAACAGAATTTTAAATTTAGAAATTTTAAATTGCATTAAAGTCATTCATAGTTTAGAGTGTAGCTTATCGAAATTCAAAAGAAACATTTGAAACATTAGTTGTTTGTTATAACAATGTAATTCAAATTTTGGAGAAACTAATGTCTGTCCATCGAAATTAATAGTTTTCGAGACCCAATCAAGTCAATTTAATATATGTACGTCATGACTAGTTATAAATAGTTTAGCTATCACAATGTCTTTCCGCTGCATCTATATGCCAATTATTTTTCTGTCATACCATAGAACTACGCAATGAAGGATTTATTATTGAAATCATGAATGTGTTGCTTGTGTGAGTCCATTTCAAATAGGTAAAGAAATAATAAATAAGACTTACTCACAATCAATTTAATTTAACTATCAGACGACCGGTTTCGCTTTCTACAATATGCAAAGCATCTTCAGATCTCGATACAAAGTTAAACAAATGCTGAAATGATAAAAACCCATATTAGGGTGTTGTCTATTAAAGATAAACAAATAAGATGTTATAAATTACAATAATTATGCCAATATTACATGTCTGTGGTTTTATTTAAATGATTAACCCATTAACTGCCAATTTTTCTTTTCTTGCTAATATCGATTTTTTGAATACTGATGTATAATTATTTGACAAAAATAGACTCCATTGGTATGTATTTATAAAATCTGTCATTTTTTGACGTTTTTTATCGTGGATCCCCAATTGGGGATCATGGCATATACTATGCTTAATAATAACATAAGTACAAGGTTAGTGCAAGGTATATTTTTATTACAAAATATTGACAAAAAGCAATTAGTTTGAATGCCAAGCAACTACACATTCTACATGTAAACCAACATTACATTTAGAACACTGTTTTCTTACATTCGATTTGCAGACCGCACATTTCCTTTGCTTGCCTTCGGGAGTCCTTTCAAGATAATGTCCAACTGGATCTCGTCTCACTGGTTCAGGCACACGTTTTTGAGATTTCATTTTTAAAGATGGTCTTCCAAGCTTTTTTGGGTCTGAAAGTGAATTCACCCTTAAAAGAGCTTTGGCTACAGCTCTCCTGAAATCAAGTAATGGAACACTACCATTTGCAATAGAGTAGACTGCGTGAGCATTTACTAGAGCCATATCAATAACGTTTGTAAATAAGGGGAAATACCATCGCTTTGCTCTAATTTTAATTCTATATTTTTGGATATTCCAATCTAATTTGTCTACTCCCCCCATATATTTATTGTACTTAGCTATAACATTGGGCTGAGGCAAAAGTATTTCTTTTTTTTCCGTTCGCGACCATCTAGCGACTTTGGCTATTGGCAGGACCTCTTCATGATTTGACAGGAGTTTGACACAGCTATTGTCTTTCCACACTACCGCAAATATATTGTTTGTTTGGTCAAAACGGTAATCAAAAAATCCCCGCTTCTCTTTTTTTACCTCATTGTCAGATGTCAAAGGACAACGGCCCATTCGGTTACTGCGCACTGTTCCAGAAGCGCAGACCTTCTTATCAGATAGCTCTCTCATAAGTTCATAGCTGGTAAAAAAGTTATCAAAGTAGAAACAATGCTCAGAGGGATTTTCGATAACCTCCATTTTTTTCAAGATTACAGAAGATCCTAGACTAACACTGGCAGCAGTATCGGCTTTTTTACCTTCGTATACCTCGGTATCGAAACAGAAACCTGTCTCTGAGCAGCACATCGCCCATTGTTTGAAACCAAATCGAATGGGCTTTCCCCTGATAAATTGTTTCAGGTAATGATGACCAAAATACCGCACCATTTGCTCATCAATACTCAGGTTGCTACTGAAAACTCCAAATCTCATGCATAATTTATTGAACCTGTCTATGATGGGTCTTATTTTATAGAGCTTATCATGCTCTTCCGGCTTGACAGGTATAAGTGAATTGTCATTGAAATGTATGTTTCGTTTTATTTCTAGGTAGCGATTTCTAGACATACATGTTCTTACAATTTGGACATTTAAATCTTCGTCTTCTGACCAATACATTTGTTCTTGTGGGAGAGAATGATATCCAGTCAATATGAGTATGCCTAGAAACTTTCTCAGACAATTTACAGAAAAAGTGAACTCATGCCTGTTGTTCTGGGCTGCATAAATCACACTTTGCCTAACAATATAGGTCATTAGTTCTTCATCAAAGAATAACTCAAAAACTTCGGCTGGTGATTTACCGCGAATTTCATCTTTAATTTTTTGCCGACGGATATCGCATGCCGATTGAGCTTCATTTGGATCAGCTAATACACTAAAATTGGCTTTTTCTACCTTTTTCCAGGCTGGAGGTTGACTGGTAGCAATTTTAGATCTCTTGGGCGCTTGGGCAGTTGTTTTCGATCTTACCCGTTTTGAAGTAGAACAGCTGGGCTGCGGCTGATCAGATTGGGGTATCTTTTTAACATCCGTGAGGCCGTGAAGCTCAATATCTCCTGGAAGGTCTAGGGGAACGGAATCACCTAAGACATCCTCATCTAGATCCTCAGAATCTGTCACGCAGTCTACGCGGTCTGGTGGAAGTTCAACGATGTCGATATGGGTATATTCACTTTCATCAATGTAGACATGATTTTCTGGATCATCTATGTAAGCCTCAAGCTCTTTCAAGGAGCGGAAAGGTTTGGAACTCATAATCTAAAAAAAAAGAAAAAAATATTACATGTGCCATGGTCCCCATTTGGGTATCGGAACACAAAAGGACCCTACAGCCACATTTTTATTATTTTTTGTGTGGCTGTATCTTTTTTGTATGCTTAAGACTCTAGTCTATCCACACTTTATAAACAAAAAACTCTTGTCAAAACTTATCTATCAAAAAATAATAATGAAAATATAGGTATGTAAAAAGGTCAACTTACCAGCCACAAATTTTCACAAAAAGCTAAATATTTCAATATTTACGCCACCAAAATATCGTAAACCAACAAAACCACACACGTGAATGTTCAAGGAACAAAACATAACCTAAACTAACAGAGTTTCATAATATGCGTAGTTGCCAAACGGTACAAAAAGCGAAATCCCCAAATGGGGATCATGGCAGCTAATGGGTTAAGTTGAATAAAAGGTATAAAATTTTTTTAAAAAAGGTTAAACAGACAAGGTAAGGCCCACAAATTGTTATAAAATAGTCTCTTCGATTGTTATAAATTAATAAATAAGCAAATAAATAAATAAAATAAACATTACTTACATGCCGGTACTCTATTAATAGATGGATGGTAAAACATGTTTGAAACTACTTTATATTGTTGAATGGAGAACTCAATACTATTATTGCAGTTGTTTGACAGTAAACGGGAAGTTCTTGAAGAGATAGATTTGATCCAATGAATTTGAGATATGTGTGAGATTGTTTGTTAAATGTAAATGATGTAATATACTATTGTGTTATTAAAGGTATATATATATATATATATATATATATATATATATATATATATATATATATATATATATATGATGACAAGAGGCAGTTTGTGAACACATCGAAGAAGTCAACATTCTTACTGTTATAAATACGTTATTCTAAACAGTGTAAACAATCAAAGCAAGTCTGATTTGCAAAACAAATAACAATAAGTTTTAAAGAGTAAAACATCTTAGCACTGTAAACTAAATTTAATGATTTGGTAAAATTAAAATTGAAATAAAATAATTTATTTATTGATTTTATTTCTAACCCACAAAAATCAACAATATAAATCACCCTATTTTTCTTGGTTTTAGTTTTTGATTTAAGGTTAAAATATAAATAAAGCAAAGTTCAAATATTTTGCATTATAACTAATATTATCCATGAGATTCTTTTGCAAAATTCACAGTTAACCAAATGTTGGTACAAAACTCACAATGTCTGAATTTTAAATTAAATTTACAAAACAGTGTTCATTACATACCCCATAAAGTTTATGCAAACAGTTTCTATTACAACGAAGTTATTACAAAAAAAATTAAGCATTATAGCATGGCCTTCAATAGTAAACAGTTTTTCTCATTTTTCCGAAAGTTGAGAAACGTGGAGAATATGAATTTTGCATCTATACCATTCAATTTAGAGGTAGATGCAGGTAAGATGTCTAGTTATTTTGAGTTATTTTATTTTCTGGCCTAAATACATATATTTTGTTTTGGCAATTTCTCGATTTCGATTAGCTCATTTAAGACAAGATTTGCCATTACTTTGGTTTTTAAATAGTTTATATTCAAACGTACTTTCTGAGTTACTTACTGTAGTTGTTCAACGTAATTAAGGCTCCTCTTAGTTGTTTGATATAACAATGTAATTCATATTTTGGAGAAACTAATGTCTGTCCATCGAAATTATTAGTCTTCAAGACCCAATCAAGTCAATTTAATATATGTACGTCATGACTATTGTAAATAGTTTTGCTATCAAAATGTCTTTCTGCTGCATCTGTATGCCAATTATTTTTCTCAGTCATACCATAGAACTACGCAATGAAGGATTTATTATTGAATAGGAAGAATAGGAAGTATTAAAGAAAGCTAAATATCCTATAGATATATACCAATATTCCAAAACTAAATATCCTATAGATAAATTAGATAAAACAAATGTAGTATACAGCATTAGATGTACTCAGTGTGAAGCTGTGTATGTTGGTGAGACCGGAAGGAATCTGTCAAACCGTATTATTTCCCACAAAAGTGACTGTAGAATTAAAAAACCATCTTGTACTTTAGTAGAGCATGTAATTGATAAAGACCATATTATGGATTTAGATAAGATCAAAATTTTATGTAATGAAAGTAACAAATGATGGTGACACAAACTGTGTTTACATTTCAGTCCCGCAAAAGTGTACTTTTCAAAGTAATTAATATCAAAAAACTTAAACAAAAGCAGTAAGCGATCGTATATAGTGCAGTTACATTACCGAAAAAACAAACAGTGAGTTATTATTATTTTATATATCAAAACGTTTCAAAAGCATACTATTTGTAAGGTTAAGTGTCGGCCGAAAGGCCTGTTATCAGAACCACTGCTGGTTCTACAACTGATTTAAATAATTATTAATTACCTACTAATGAGTTTATCAAATGATATCAGATCCGACCTTAAAAATTTGTCAACAGCCATGACTGACGATCAACAATATCAAAACAAAACAACATATTCTGCTGTGCTTAATAATACTTCAATTCAGTTTCCTTCTAAGAATCAAGCAATTTTATTTAATGCGCTACCTGATACTAAAATAGAAGAGTACCTAATAGCTCTTGGCGAAGTTGTTCATCCACGGAATATTTTATTTTCATCAAGAATATCAAATAACAGAATATGTATCTATCTCTCCAGCGAATCCTTGGTCGAAAAATTTATGTCCAATCTAGCAGAAATAACAATAAAAGGCGAAAATCTAAAGGCTAGAAGATTAATAACTCCGAACGAAAGACTGTTACTATCGAATGTATGCCCTTCTATTCCACATACTCTAATAGAAAATGAGTTAATTAAATTGGGTCTCAAATTAATGTCACCTTTAACCTTTCTTAGAATAGGTAGTCAACTCCCAGAATTTCAACACGTCTTCAGTTTTAGAAGACAAACATATATTCAACCACTTGTAGATATGGACCTACCTTCTTCCTTCTTAATTACATATGAACAAACTTCGTATCGCATATTTTTAAGTTTAGATATACCTTCATGTTTTATTTGTAAGCAAACAGATCACATTGCAGCAAATTGTACGTCATAATCCACAAAATGATCCCACTCTTATCCACCATCAACCACAACAACCAATACAACAACAACCACAAGGATCCTCACAGTATAACAAATCGCCCTTAGAAATAGAACCAGATCTTCCAGTCAGTAATTCTAATACCGAACCTACACCTAACCAAAAAACAGATACCAATTTAATACCTCCCGTACTTATGGAAACTACTGGTATATCTAAAGACCAGTCATCGACCAACAAAAGAACAATTTCGGAAATCAATACTACTCCATCTCCCACTGAAGAATTAAATAAAGAATTTAAAATCCCAAAACAAACCAAAAAGAAACAAAAAAAGCAACCTGAAGCTACCATATCAATTCAGGAAATGATGATGCCAACAAAAATAATATTTCATAATATGTCAAATAATTTTAACTTAACATATGAACAAACTCTTGACTTTTTTGAAAATTATTCTAGCTCGTCTGATCCCCTGAGCTTAATACAAACGTACACAACGGATATACCCAACTTTATTAATATGATAACAACAATTAAGCCATATTTTACAGAAAAAAGCATGAAAACCAAATGCACTAAAATAATAAACAAAATACAAAAAATGCTGAACTCAGACGATTCCGCAAATCAAGAAAGTGACACTACATCAAATTCAACTCAAGAAATAAACTAAAATCTTCGATCCGATTATTCAATGGAATGTTAACGGGTTCTATGCCCGTTTAGAAATGCTTAAACATTTATGTTCAATAATCTCGCCATCAATTATTTGTTTACAAGAAACAAACTTTAAAGGACAGCATAGTTATGACATGAGGAATTATTCTTGTTTCCATAAAAACCGAAACAACGCAAATATCGCTAGTGGAGGAGTTGCTACATATGTTAACCAAAAATATGAATCGGAAGCAATAGTAATTAATAGTAAATTAGAAGTAGTAGGAGTATCAGTGTCCTTTCCACAAAAAATAAATATCTGTAATTTATATATTCCACCTGACTTACCAATCACAGAAGCAGATATTTCAGATGTACTAGATCAGATTCCCACTCCCAAAATAATTGTTGGTGATTTTAATAGTCACAATCCAATATGGGGATCTTTTGGAATAAATTCCAAAGGTAAAATTGTAGAAAACATAATTACCTTAAAAAACCTAAACTTACTGAATGATGGACAATCAACACGATATAATATTCATACAGGTAACTCATCAGCTATCGACCTGTCATTATGCGATCCTGTACTGTCACCAAAGTTTTCATGGAATGTAATCCCGTTTTTATATGGAAGTGATCATTATCCTATTAAAATCTCTTTCAATAATAATTATGAAGATATTAATACAACTCCAATTCCAAAATGGAATCTAAAGAAAGCCAATTGGTATTTATTCAAAAAGTATATTCAACAGAACTGCCATACTTTAAAAGAAGTCACCGAAAACCGACATATAGATGAACTTCTAAATTCGTTTATATCACTAATTCATTCTGCTGGCGAAAGTCATATAGGTAAAACACAAACTCTACATAAAAGAAATTCATTACCATGGTGGAACGCACAGTGTACTGACGTAATAAAAAAATATAAAAAATCCTTTAACAAATTAAAACGTCACAAAACACCTGAAAATACCATAGAATATAAGAAATTACGGGCTCAAGCTAGATATATAACTAAAAAGAACAGAAAAAAATCTTGGCAAGAATTTATGTCTTCTATTAATACCAATATGCCTATAAGCACGGTATGGGAGAATGTTAGAAAAATATCTGGAAGCAATACCTATAAAAGGATTCCATTCCTATGCAAAAATAAACAGATAGTAACATCTAATTACGACATAGCAGAATTAATAGCAAAACAATTTGAAATGAACTCCAGCAATAATAACTTTTCTAAAGATTTTGTGAATACTAAGATGATTTCGGAAAATCAGTTAATAGATTTTGATTGCATTGAAGATAATCCCCTTAATATAACATTTACCATGGAAGAGCTTAATCACTCTTTAAATACCAGCAAAAAATCGGCGCCAGGACCAGACAATATTCCCGTCAGTTTCTTACAAAATCTACCAGATAATGGAAAAAAATATCTTTTCCCAAATGGAGTTTCCCACATCATGGACGCAGGCGATAATATTTCCATTACTAAAACCAAATAAATCACGAACTGATCCTGATTCCTATAGGCCAATTTTTCTTACCAATACAATGTGCAAAATCCTAGAAAAAATGGTGAATTATAGATTGAGGTGGTTTTTGGAAAATAATAAATTAATAATCAATGAACAAAGCGGCTTTCGCAGAAACAGATCAACCATAGATAATTTAATAGATCTAGAATCCGAAATACATGAATCATTTGCAATTGGACAGGAATGTCTTGCTGTCTTTTTTGATATAACAAAAGCGTTCGACATGGCTTGGAGATATGACATTCTTAACACACTGAGTCATTGGGGTGTCAAAGGTAACATGCTATATTTTATACATAATTTTCTCAATAAGAGACAATTTAAAGTTAAGGTAAATGGAACAGTATCCAGCACTAAAGACCAAGCAAATGGAACACCTCAAGGTTCTGTCATTAGCTCAACACTATTCTTAGTAGCGATAAACAAAATCTTTGAAAACTTTCCAAAACTTGTCAAGGCGAGACTATACGCTGATGACTTGGTTATATATTCAAGAGGAAAAAATATTCTTTCTATACAAAAAAATTTACAATGTGCATTAAATCACCTTGAAAACTGGTCGAATGCTGTGGGATTGCAATTCTCTACAACCAAAACCAAATGTATTTTATTTTCAAAAAAACAGCACTCTACAAATCCAGATCTTCAGTTATATAAAAACAACTTAACTTATGTGGAACACTTAAAGTTTTTAGGAATGATCTTTGATAAGAAACTATCTTGGAAATACCATATTATGCAAATTAAGCAATCTTGTCAATCTGGTCTCAATTTAATGCGAACACTGTGCAATCGTAATTGGGGTTCAGATTTTAAAAGCTTGATCCATATTTATAAATCACTAATACGATCAAAACTCGATTATGGATCAGTTGTATACTCATCTGCAAAGAAGACACTTCTTGTTCAACTAGAAGTCATACAAAATACAGCACTAAGAATAGCTACAGGAGCATTCTGTACTAGCCCCATTAAAAGTCTGCAATCTTTAACCGGGGAACCACCTTTAAACTACAGAAGAATGTACTTGTCATTAACATACGCATCTTCTATATGTGCGATAAAATCGCATCCAACTTTCCATCACACTATCGCTGAACGTTTCAAGGAAACTTATATAAATAAAAAAAGAACGAACCCTCCCTTTTATGAGAGAATCAGAAGATATCTCTCTATCCATAACATTCAATTCCCAATTTTTTTGATCAAACAAATACATTCACACCTCCCCCTTGGACCTTTCCTCCTGCAATATGTGATCTAACTCTTTCTAAATACAATAAGCTTGAGATCCCCCATGCAACACTTATTCAATCATTTTACAACATACTTGCTTCTTTCCCAGATTATTGTCATATCTATACAGATTCATCCAAAACTATTGATGGTGTGGGATCAGCAGTCATAGCTCCGAACATTGTATTACAGTTTAAATTATCTTCCACTTGCAGCGTTTACTCTGGAGAACTATACTCAATTCTGCAAGCCCTCATTCATATACGTCTTCAAAATATTCCAAAATCTGTCATAATTACCGACTCTCTTAGTTCATTACATACGATAGAACAGTTATATACAAGTAATCCTATATGTATTTTAATAAAAGAACAATTACATTTACTAAACAACTCGGAGAAGCAAGTACGCTTTATATGGGTTCCATCACACATTGGACTTCCAGGAAACGAAAAAGCAGATTTCCATGCCAGAGAAGCAATACACAGTGCCTCTTCAGTGTTAGTGAACTTAGTGTCCGTTTCTGACTTCAAATTGTTCCTTAAAGAAAAAGTGACAAATGAATGGGAAAACGAATGGAATCTTTCACGATCAACACTACACATAATGAGGCGCTCAACCGAATCCTGGTGCGAGACAAACTTAAATCGCCAGCTGTTTGTTAAACTAACCCGTTTACGTATAGGTCATAGCAGACTAACTCACAGCTACCTAATCTCCAATTCAAATCGTCCTATTTGTGACTTATGTAACTGCGACATTAATGTAACACATATCTTAATAGAGTGTCCTAAATATATTAGTGAAAGACAAAAACACTCAATACCTAACAATATAAAGGCAGTCTTAGGAGTACATTGTAAATTTACAAATTTGTTTAACTACTTGAAGGATATTGATGTTTTAAAAAAACTGTAACTGTCAATTATTTGTAAACTCTATTTACAAATTGTAAAATGTGAACTTATCTAATTATTGTAAACCTACTAATTAATTAAAATACTGTTCAGATTTAAGCACCTATGTAACAACTATAGTACAGCTAATAACCCAAAGTGGTTGATGCTGTTATCAATAAAAAAAAAAAAGTAATAAATTTAAAAGAACTTTTTTGGAAATGGTTTGTATTATCAGAAGTGATAATAATTTAAACAAAAGATCAGAAATTCAAAATCTAAGCAAAATTTTAAATTTTATTATTTCTCTATAGTCTATTCATTAAAATATCACATTTTAATTTAATATTCCATATACTTGTTACATTTTTTAGACATTTTGACAATTTCGTAACACTGATTATTTTATCTTTTTTAGTGTTAATTTTTTATATAACTTAAAACTAACAATACTAAATACATATTATGCAAGAGATGTAATTTGAAAATCTAAAATTGAGCTTCTGATTTTTTTTAATATGCATTCTCACTGAAACATCGATAATTTACTCCGTATTGTTGTTTTACACAAAAGTACCAAATACATGGATTTTTTATGTTCCTAAAATTTTATTGTTCATATTTTAATTAAAATAAATATATTTTAGGAACTTTAACTGCCATCAGCAGCGGAATGCATTATTCGTGGACAGCACCGTTACTACCTATTCTTCAAGGACCTGATTCTCCATTGAAAGTCACTGACAGTCAAGCGGAATGGCTAGAAAATTCATATATGGTCGGTGCTTTTTGCGGAGTTTGGATAACAATGTATTTAGTTGATAAAATCGGCCGAAAGAAATCTATGCATTTAGCTTCATTTATAATGTTATCCGCTTGGGTAGTTACGGCTGTAGCTCCAAGAGTAGAATACATAATTGCTGCAAGAGCATTTGCTGGATCAGCAGGAAATATGACGTTTGTAGCTACGCCCATGTATATTGCTGAAATAGCTGAGCATAAAATAAGGGGATTTTTAAGTAGTTTAATTTATCTTATGATGCTTATCGGTATTCTTTTAATTTATTCTGTGGCACCTTTTGTTCCCTTTTATGCTCACTGTATTTTGGGAGCATCATTTGATTTAACACAACTTATAATTTTTCCCTTTATGCCAGAAAGTCCTTATTATTTACTATCTAACAATAAACCAGAAGATGCTTTACAATCTTTAAAAAAATTAAGGAAAAAAGAGCATGATATAAAAAAAGAATTAGAAAATATTAAGTTAGCAGTAGATCGCCAAAAAGCGGAACAAGGTAGATTCTGTGATCTTTTTCTGGTTTCCAGTAATCGTCGAGCTATGCTTATAATGGGTTTTTTAAATACAGCTCAACATTTAAGTGGTATTAGCGTTCTCCTTATGAACATTCATATTATCCTTGAAGCTGGAGGTTCTATTTACATCGAGCCACGAATGGCTGCAATTATATTTTCTGCGACAATGGTAATCGCTGCGTCTGTAGCTTCCCTGACTATGGACAAATTTGGTCGAAAAACTTTACTAATTTCGTCCAGTTTGCTAACCGGACTGTGCCTTCTTGTTTTAGCTATTTACTTTAGTTTAAAAAATGGTGGAATCGACACTATTAATTATAGTTGGATTCCCACTGTATGTGTCATGCTATTTGCTCTAACTTTTAAGCTGGGATTGGGTATGGTACCTATAGTGCTCACAGCAGAAATTTTTCCCACAAATATGAAAGCTTTCGGTATGGCAATTGCAGATGGATTTTATGTTGGAGCTTCATTGCTTTCTTTACAAGTGTATCAAAGATTAACTCAATATTTTGGACTAGAGTATCCTTTCTACGTTTTTTCTTGTTTTTGTGTCTTTGCAGCTCTATTCACTTTTATATTTATACCTGAAACAAAGGGTAAAACTTTGGAGGAAATACAAATCATTTTAAAAGGAAACAATATATAACTGAAAATGAGATTGCCAGAACTGAACTGGAATATATATTTCTATATATAAACTGTATAAACTATAAACTGGAAGTATTACAAAAATTTACCCTTTGTATAATAAATTACCAAAATTATTCTGTTTCTTACTTAATTAATTTTTAAAATAACCCTAATGCTCAAATATTAATATAGGGACGTTAGCTCTATCAAAACACTCTCTATTTTAAGAGATTCCTCTTTTTTTATTAAAATAAAAATAAATTCAATTTTACAAATTAATAATTTATTTATTTTAATATGAAATAAACTTGCAATATATATTGGCTAGAAAGAAAAATATACAAAAATTTAATAATTTTAGTTTAACCCCCTCTGTGGCTCAGTGGTAAGAGCGCCTACCTTTAAACCTAAAGGTCGTGAGTTTGAATCTCATCTGGGTGGAGAAATTTTCGTTTATTAAAAATTAATGGATGAAAATAATTTCTATCCTTGTTCAATCGGTACTCACCGGAGGGACCGCAGACGTACGGATACAATTAGCGTCTCTTAGCACAGACAATGACGTCGACTTTGCTAAGTATCAAGACAATTACTCTACACACACACACACACACACACACACACACACACACACACACACACACACACACACACACACACACACACTACACTAGGTACCTGACTGTACCATGCCAATGATCTTAGTTGTCGAGGCATTAACTCAATAATAAATAATAATTTTAGCAAGAGTAATCCATAATATTAGTAGAAAATGACAGACGTAGAAAATCTTCAATTTGTTGAGAAAATGGCAAACTAATGGGTAAAATAACCAAGTCCTTGGTTCATAGTCGATCTTACCAAAATTGTTATCTAAGTGTTACCTATCATCTCAAAATATAATTTAACCACTATCAAATTCTACAATAGAATCCGTGTTTTATTATAAATATTAATGACCCATCATTTTCCATACCTGAAAACTGAATTGACCAGTCATCTAAAAAGAAAAAAAAATTACTTTTTGCATCATTAGATAGAAAATTTTACCAATTCCCCAGAAAGCGATTCTTAGCTAAAACTTGTAGTTTGAACTTCTTGGCACATTTTGGCACTGAACCTGCTCTGTCTTCATTGTATAATCAAATTTTGACATTATTTCCGGACATAGATTATCGAGCCATTGGATCACCGCCGGTCACCTCTATATTGTGTGTGGATACTGCCTGTTAACGTAAAACAGACATTTGTTTTATTAACATAACTGGGTGAAACATTACAGATTTTAGATATTCTTCTCAAATAATCCATTTTTACGCATTTTTAATAGATTGTGTAAATCGTTTGTACTTATCTTAATGGCATGTTATCATTATAATATAATATTTCATATACACATGTCATAAAAACCGTTAAAGATACTTACACAACCTAAAAAAATTCACCTAACTAGTCTATGTAACTATCTTTATTTATTACTATAGATTCGACTACAATAAATTTCATGTTTTTAAAACAATGTTTTGATGTTTTTATACAAAATTACTTCACGAATTGACTGTAAAGTTTATTTATTGTTTTGAGATAATAAAGATATATAAAAACGCCTTAAGATTTTATTCTAAATCCTTAAAACACTTTTACCCTCTATCTCTCTCCCTCTGTCTCTCCGATTCAACCGTCGTGCATCCAGAATTGGATATTTTCCCGGTACGTCAGTTCGTCGCTCTATAGTTGTGTCTTCCATCTACTTCTGTTACCGAATTTAGTTCCATATATGTTTTAGGCCATCAAGTTAACTTGTTTTTTATTTAACCATTTTTACTTTGTTTAGTATCCACTCATCTTGCAATATCTCCTACAGACCTCCTACAGACCCACTTTAGTTATATGACTGTTTCTCGTTTGACTCGTTTTTTATCCAGTCGTTTTTTCTTTTTTATCTCGTAAATATATACCCGTTGCTCGTTCCATTGCTCTTTATGGCACTTAAAGTCTAAATGGTATTTTCAATTAAAACTGCTTTCTTGTTACATATCTAATTTACATATATTTATATGGAATTTAGCCACAATTAATTGTAATGAATTAATAATATTAATTTTGATTAGTACTCAACACAAGATCTCTTATAAAAAACGTACAGCAATTCTGGCAAATACTAACAGAAATTCATTACAATTCCAACAATATGCTAGTCAGTTTGGATATCACCAGTCTTTTAACCAATAATTGATCGTTGGAGAAAACTTTAAAAATATAAACAGGCAAATTAAAGAGGGATGATACATTTACAATAAAAACCAAACTGAATGTATCAGCTATCGCGGAAGTAGTAAGACTTATTTAAAACACCTATAGGTGCAACACCTATTTTAAATTAGATAATGATTTATATAAGAAAAATTTTGGATCAGCCATGAGCTCACCTTTATCTCCATTATAAGCAGATATATTCACGAAGGATTTCGAACAGAACATTGTGCACAAACAAGACAATCAACCCACCATATGGTGGAGATATGTAGATCACATATTTTATATTTTGCCTTACGGCTATAATATCAATAATAATATAAAAATCAATCAAATTCGCCATGGAAAAAGAAAACAACAATTCACTTCCTTTTCTGGATGTGCTAACCGCAAAAGGAGTTGAAGGATATGCAACCAAAGTTTACAGAAAATCAACTCACCAACAAATACTTAAATTATTACTCCAACCACAACGTAAATATACAAAAAGGAATCACCAAATTATTGTCTGTTAGAGTCTAAACCATCTGATCTGGTGTAAATGCATCTTAGAAAGAAAAAAAACCTGCTGAAAAAGGTTTTTGAGAAAAATGACCACCCATTGTCATTAATAAACAAGCAATTATCCAAGAACAATCCAGAAACACGTACAAGAAGGGGTTTAAAGATGACAGCAATACCATATGTAAAAGGCTTTTCTGAAATAGTAAAGAGGATAGAAAACAAGTACATCACAAAAATATTCAAAACAACTAAAACACTGAGATCTGTCCTGTCAAAAACCAAACCCAAAAACACACAAGAAAGAAAAGCAAACTGCATCTATAAAATACCCCGTAAAAGCAATAATTTCTACTGTTTGGTTGGAGAAACCGCAAGAAAGTGTCAGGATAAACAAGCATGAAATATACATCAAGAACAGCCACTTCGAGAAATCCAAGATACGTAAATATGTCTGGAAGAACGGGAACAGAGTACAATGGAAAGACGCATTAATATTTATAAAAGAAACAGACATAAAAAAGGGAAAACCAAAGAAGCAGATCTTATCCTACGCAAAACAATAAAATATGTAGCATACCTATCAGCAGAATGTAGCAGACTTCGTTTGCCAATATTTAAAGAAAAAGTCAAGTCAATAACAAGACCAACACCATCAATAGCGGAGTAATAGGAAGACATATCACCTATAATTTATACACAATACACATGCAACACACATTACAAACAAACATATAATCTACTTTACACAATCTATGTTATATAACCAAAACTACTATACACACTACACAAAACTATAATACAAATAAAATTCGTAAAATAGTCAGAATTTTATATTCCGAGGTTCAAAATACAAATCTCACATGTTTTTATTTATAAGCATGCTGCAGGATCAAGGCTAAGTATTTAAGTCTACCACCAATATTGAAAAACAACCTACTTACAACAGCAATTTTTTGGTTATACATTTTCCCAGAACTTTCCAAAATAATCTTTTTTTAAAACGATTTCCGGAGTGAAAATCCAAACGTCAAATATTAGAATCAATTGTGGCTTAATCCCATAGCTATAATAATATTTAAGTTATTTTTATTGGTAATATAAAGGTCTGAGTTCCACATATGAGCATCTGGATGATACATGGACTCTTAAGCAAGAAAATAAGAGTCAATAGAATAAAAGCACTACAAAATTTAAATAAAATAGCTCTGCTCAGATTAATACAGGTAATAATAGTAGAAATAAATACAGTGATATGTTAAGTATTTCAATAATAACGGTTGATAGCTTCTTTTCATGCATTAAAAACTAATAGTAGAAATATTACAACTAGTGTCTTAAGATGCCACGTACTTTCTACCCTTTTATATGGAGTTAAAGCCAGGACAGTTACGGACGCAACTGAAAGAAGACTTGCCAGCTTTGATATGTGGTTTTATCGAAGAATGTAAATCATTTCATGTATACCACGGAAACATTAAGAAAGGCAAAAAAAGAAAAAGAAATACTTTATTCTATATGAATATACGCTATGAACGAAAGAAAAATACGGTCACTTACTAGTAAATGAAAACTATAAGTTTGTTACGTTTGGAATGTCCTACGATTAATTATCGCAAGAGACTCCTGGTTCGAAAGAATACAAAATTAAATTTCTATTACAAAAATTACTTTCGTATTAAAATACACAAATGTGACTTTAAAAGTTTTATTTAGTTTACTTCGGTTCGGTGGTATAAATTCGACTAAAAACTAACTCTAAACAAATTGAATATATTCTTATACTATATGAAATTCAATACCCTACATTCTCAGACGAAAGTCATTAAAATTAATTGCTTTCACAAGCCCTTAGCCGGAGAGACGATACGCTGATTACAAAAGGGGATTTTTAAAATAAACACATTACTTAAGTATTAACTCGACATACTCCCACCTTGAGAAATTTAACATAATTTCTCAAAAAATAAGAGAGTTACAAAAATAAAATCATGAAAATATTACTTAAATCTTAAAGGAGTTTTCACCATCCGGCCACAACGCGTATATCTTCTATTTAAGTCGGGTACTCTGCTTTTTATCACTCCCGCACTTTTTTCACTTGGTTCTTCCTCAAACTGGAGTTGACCAACGTTCTCTTGGGGTAACCTCTCTGGAACCGTCTGACTTCCACAAGGTAGAGTATTACCTTGGACATTCTCGCCAGTAGTAACTGCATCGACGATCTCCACCGGGTAAAGCCTTTGTAATGGTCTCAGA